TCGATCGATGAGAATCCAACTTTTGGTGGTTTATGAGTAATATAAAGGAATAATATCTGTTAAAATGAGATTTATGGATTTTGTATCAACTCGACGGCCTACTATAGCCTATATTAGACTTATTTATACCCCAAATGTTTGTAATACCCAAAAGTTATCGTGCCGGATAAAATGTAAACGGAATTCGGGTGGAGACTGGGAATGGTCAGATTGATTAGTTTCCACCACAAAAGGATACGTGTACTTTGCTTTTAGGATTTAACTTCAGTTTACATACATCTATATACTAATCAATGTTACCTAGCTGCTTAAATCATAATACAAAATAAATCCGTTTTTGTGTAAACGAAAATTCAACCTTTCAATCAACTATTCAAACGAAAAGCTAACTTCAGTGACTAAACTCTAAATTATTCGTCTAAAAAACCGCTCCACCGCACCGAGACCAAGTCTTCCTTTCAATTTAAGGATAGTACTAGCTCAGCATGTGCAATCCAGGCTTTAGTACGTGGCCTTCATGTGTCGGTTGTGGTTTGGGACCATGTCTACTAAATATGGAATGCTCAACTTGTAGCTCATCATGCGCAGAATCTGGTTGTAAAACGTGCTCTCGTGGCTGTGGAAAACCATATGCGTTGACTTATTCGCCAGCATTTGGCTGCAGTGGAGCACTTATAAGCAGCTGTGTACCCTTTCCACAAATATGGAATTGTCACAATACACCTGCCTCATACAGATGTAAGTCAGATGGAAATTATACATTTCGGAACCTAATTCTATAAGTTTTTGCTAATAAAATAGGTTGCTTATTATAAAGCCTGCATTATAAGGCCTCGGATCTACGGACTGCRTTAACTTAAGGAGTTCCGGTACAAACATGAGCCCTAAAAATAACATTCAAAGATACTAATTTCATATACGCACATACATTCGTGCGGTTTTTACAAATAAATTTCTATTTTTAAATCATATTTTCTTATTATTCCTGGATACTTCAGATATCTTAAGATATACACAAAATTGAGTCGAATAGCTTTGACACTTGGCAATATCTGTAATTATGAGTACGGGTATACCAACCAAAGGAAAGACGTCTATTTCTAAATATATTCTGCATAGATGAGAAAAAATACACCTTGGTCTTTTCGTTTTGAAGCACTTGATTGCTAGCATGAGGCTCGAAGCTGTTCGGGAAGAACTTTGGGTAGAATTTACTCTTCTTGCACTTTTCTTTCAAATAAGCATGAAGACGCTTCATCGAGCGGCATCAAGTCGCTAGCGGCGCCATATAGGGAAAGTACAAGGAAGAATTGTTAACAACTTACAAAACAATGGCCGSCCGGTTCTTAACTACGTCGCAGCGATATAGTCGCCTAGATGTAGGAAAAAGCAGACGAGGAAGCTCCAAAATTGTCAAAATACAGCAGTCCGGACTACAACAGGATGCCTCTTGATGTCTCCTAGGGAACACCTGCACAGTGGGGTCCGTATGCTCGCAGTTAAGGAGTGTAATGAACTCCTTTCCAGGCAGTTCCAGCTGGGGTATTTTTGCACAAATCGTCATCGCAGTCACCTTCTTGGAACAGAACCGTTTCCTAGAAACAACAAGAGATTTTTCAACGACGTCRACGACTGCAAAGTAAATCAAAGGTGAGAATTAAGAGGAATACMAGCTGCAGCAGCTCTACGGAAGAGTCGAGATGAAACCCCCTTAACACTTCCATCTTGAATGTCACGCATTTGCGAGATCAAGGCTTAAACGCTTTGGAGCTCACAAACTTAGATATCACACGAAGCTTGTGGGCATAAGATCAGATGCAGGAGTTCTCTTAGTTACCTCACGAAGCTAGTGAGAATAAAATCGGGTGCAAAAGTTCAATTTTTATGGTCTCACAAAGGATTGTATGTAGGAATCCAAGCGCGACCTCTAGATCAGCCAACAAACCTAACCTAACCTAATTTAACTGCTGGTAAATACTTTTAAAAGAAGTTGTGTAAACTCGCGTAAAGTCTTCAGTAAACCGTTCCTCTTCTAATTGTCACTGAGCACGATCCTTTAACAACTTACTGAGACACAAGATGGACCAAAAACTACATATTAGTTTTCTTGTACTTGTTGCATTAAATTATCACTTTCTGGAATAACATACAAATTTTAATCAAAATTTTCCGAATTTCACATTTTTTCATTCAGATCAAAATTTTTAAACTAAACACTTCCAAATTTTCTGTGCGCTTTTCTCTTAAGGCAACTTTTTGAAGTAAGTCACATGGTTTATCACAGCTTCCAAGAAGATAATAATTACACATACTCTTTTATAGAATTCGAAAAAAGAAAAACAAAACAACAACATATCAGAATGTGCGATCCATGCTATTCTTGTTGCGGACCTTGCGGACCATGTGGCCCTTGCGGCCCATGTGGACCCTGTGGCAGCCCTTGTTCGCCATGCGGACCGTGTAATCCATGCGGACCCTGCGGACCATGCTGTATACCCAATTGTGGACCATGTGGTTTGACAATGCCTTCGGGTCCGTATGTACCACCGCCGTGCGATCCATGTTGTCTAGGTTGTGGACCTTGTGGGCCACGCGGCCGACGTAGTCGACCATGTGGACCCTGCGGACCTTGCGGTGCCTGCAGTCCCTGCATGCCAGGATGTCCATATGAAGCGCCCGAGTGCGGCACATGCTATCCATGTGCGCCGACACCGTGGAATACACAATGTGGCCCATGCGGGCCATGCGGTCCACAAGTACCATGTGCACCATGTGGACCGTGCCCACCGTGCAATCCTTGTGGCCCGTCGTGTTAAATACATACACATACATATATACATGCTTATGTATATGATAGTCTTGTTTGCGAATAATTCGATTTTGATTTCATATTTATTTTTGGAGAAGAATGGACCTTTTCTAAATTAGAATTGAAAGTATGCGAAACCAAATAATCTAAAAAGCCTAAAGTGACTTAACTAGCTGTTAACAAGGTGAGTTTCATCATGACGAATTTACCTTGATGCGCGCAAAACTGTCAAGGTGGATTTCGGCTGCGTGAAACCCACCTTGCTAACGGCTTTGCGCGCAACATGGCACTCACAGCGGTGGTGGTCACATATAGAGCGGCCGTGTTTTTCGACAACGTTTTTCAATTTTCTGATATTTTGTTTCTCTAACTCATTTTAGGACCAACGCGCGATCGTCCACGCGGTATACTCTGTGGTATACATTGCACTTGCATGTGCGTCAAACGCAATGGATTGCAAGATTTGTGCCATCATTCCTTGTGCCGAAGACTATGTTAGCAGGCACTGCTGAACACTTACGTAAGTACGGATTGCGGAATTAGCGTATTCGGGCACCTCTTTCACGTTCCCCTTCCTTTCAGATTTATGCGGTAAATAATTGCAAGCGGCATGTCGCATAGACAGCCCTCCCTCCTTAAACGTACGCCGTTGTTTTCAATTTCTTTTTACCGGATCGCTTAYGACACTTCCCATCAATTTACACCCCACACTAACTCTACATACAAAACTGTGGCTTCAATGATGTAAAGGCAAGCAGCATATAGCACTGTGATARAGGAAGCGTAAGCAATTGCAGCGGAACTCAAGCGTGGTTGATGTCACAACTTTTGGCGCCGACGAAAATTGTGTATTTGCTTTTCCTTAAYGTTCGCATTTCAACAGCGATGCATCTACATATGTATGTATATATGTGATTTAACAGGATGCATCCGAAACTCCTTGAAAAAGCAAATGTTAATAAAGTACTAGATGGTGGTTTCCTTCTTCATTGAATAAAATAGTACTTGTTTCACTTAAAAGTGATGATAATACAAAATAAAAAAATTCGAATTCGACTAAATTTTTTTCGAATCGAGTTACAGAATAGGCWAAAACTCTCCTATTCTCCACTTAAGTTTAATCATTCACTGCTTATTAAACCCGTTTGAAATCAAACCAAACCTTTAGTTTAAATTCATATCCAAAAGAAATAACCAACTAGTAACCCTTGGTCCAAACGACTCATCTTCTACCTTGATCCACTCAGAGAAATCATTATAATTTCAGAGCAAGATCAGTTGAAAATTCCAAGATCAATCATCTAATAGACTTAATCTCCGTCGTGAGAGATTGAGAAAGGCATCGGTCGCTCATATATCTATAGTACAGGAGCAATTGAGCAATATTGGACTTGTATGGGTGTCCGGTCACAACGGGATCTCCGGAACTGCAAGCCCGATGAGTTAAGTAGGGGCGGCACTCTTACCCCAATTACATTCCATTGAAAGCGAATCGGAAATCGGCAAACGCTTGTCAACAACCACAACTTGTAGGACTGCGAAATCGTTTTGAAACAGAGTGAACCGTAAGACGCTCTCCGAAGTATTCGCACTTAGCAAAGTCAATTGTAAATGTTCCAATTGGACATGGTCCAATAGACTCATATGCGTTAAGGCCACTTTTCTTGTCGAACGCAAATTGCAAAAGCTGTATTGAAGAAGACGAGTTGGAATAATCTAGATACCTCCTTCTAAACTGTTCGGCTTTTGCCAGACTGTGATTGAAACATCTCGATAGTCACACTTTTACGAGCTGMCCGAACTAAATTTGCGTTAGATTCAAAGCTCTTCGTTAATTTATATATAAAAGTCTTGTGATTCATTTCTCAAAAGTTCAAAGAATTACAAAGGACAAACGTCCAGAACTGCGCAAGTGGAATAGGACGCGAGGCAAATGGATYTGATAGTGCACGAGGGCAAGACGAAAYATGTATCTCTTGCAATCAAAGAAATTGTCATCGCACTAGCAACTTGGTTSCCACGTCACTGCTGACAATCATAATTTCRAAGTYGTAGATAATTTYGTCTATCTTGGAATCGGCATTAACACTAACAACAATGTCAGCCTCGAAAACCAACCCAGAATAACTCTTGGCAACAGSTGCTTCTTCGGACTGYAGGCAATTGAGAAGTAAAGTCTTCTCTCGACGAATAAAAACTAAATTCTACAAATGACTTGTCATCCCTGTTCTGCTAAATGGTGTAGAGGAATGGACGATGACAACATCAGATCAGTCGATGGAACCAAGAGGCGACATTGTTATTATTCAGCGAATTAAGAGGTAGTGGATTTGCTGGCTAGGTAATGTCGTCCATCGTCCATATGGATGAAAACACTCCARCTCTGAAAATTTTCGGCTAAAAYCGCGTAARTGGTKTCTACCCCAAGAAGGAAAGAAGAGGCTAAAGCAGATTATGATGTCAAAGCTCGACAAGATTGGTTCGCCTTCAAAGTTAAAATACAAACTTTATTAGATCCTCTCTACTTCTTTTTTTTTAGTAAGCTGTTCTGTGTTTGCACTTTTTTTGGCAGGAACTCTTAGTAGTTAGATTTTTTTGGGAAATATCTAATATAAAAGAATTAAGTGCTTGTTCATTAAAATACTGTACTTTTATCGATATTTAAAAATCCAAGCAAATCATGAAAATATTTTCAAGTAAGTTCAAGTAAGAAAATATTTTGAAAAATAAATTTGGAGGGATTCTCATTCCAAAACAATATTTCGGCTAAAAACCAGCTACCAAATTTCCGTTGCGACCAAAAGTAAGTTAATCCTTCTAAGGATTTTTATTTAACTCCAATGAGAATAATTTTTCGCGTACCGTTTAAAAGTAATTYATATTTCTTACAGAAATTAACCTAACATCGAAATGTGCTGCGGTCCCTGTTATGGCTCTTGCTGTAGTCCCTGTTATAGCTCGTGCTGTAGCCCCTGTGGGTCGTGCTGTGGTCCTTGTGGACCCTGCTGTGGCCCCTGTGGACCTTGTGGCGGCTGTGGCCCGTGTGGATCCTGCTGTGGCCGTTGCTAGACATATCTACGCCGCTTTTGTAAGTATTACCACGGTGGAAGCTGAATAAAACGCGGTTTGACATTCATTTCTTATATCACTTCAGTCCCAATTCAGCTTCTGGGATTTACAACACCACTAATTCAAAGCGGCTAAATGTCAAATGAACGGCGAACGGCAAAAATATTGGTATTTAATGCTTACATTTAATCATGAATTCTTCTAAAATTAAATTATTTTTACTTTCAGTTAAATGGATTGTGATCCCAAAGCAAATCAATGTTATCGAACAACGTGACCAACAGCGGACCAGAAAAGTTCTAGGCAGCCATATAAAACAGCTATTTTTCACATTTTTTTGGTTACATTTTTCTTTTTTCTTTTTAATAAAAGTGAAACTGCTTTTATTAAAGTGCGATTTTTTTATTAAATTTGTGGTATCGAAAGATTAGTCCAAATATTAGTCTCCCAAGCCGCTGAAGCCTGAAACAACTATTAAGACTATAGTTTGGGCTTGTAAAGTTCTCTAGCTGGCTAGAATCAAAAAACAGGATTTTCCGAGAGTTTGAAGTTTAAGGTTATTTTAGTTCCAGAACATTGCGGAAATGCGGAGAAATGGGTTCCTTTGGCGAGTATATTACTCTATAAGCAGGGGCCCTATTCCATATCTCGATTCATAAATGATCTTTGGAACACTTCTTGGTTCAATGGCGCACTCGGTCCTGGGGCCCTATTCTGTATCTCGATTCGTAAATGTATTCTATTCGAAATTCGGATCTACTTTATAATTTTTCGAAAGCTGTACCACCCTCTGCCTGAATAAATACGTACAATTTTCGTTTTTGCTTTCTACAACTCAAAAGCTAACGAATATTTTATTCGAAAATTGGCTTGAAAATCCGAAAATCGAGTTACGGAATATAACTCGAAATGCGAATTCGAGTAAATTTTGTTTCGAATCGAGTTACAGAATAGGCCCCCTGCCTGCCAATCCAACATAGCGACATCGTCAGTTTGTTTGCTTAGTACTCCCTTTTGAGTTTTGGGGGTTCTTTATATAAGGGATTTTGTGTTTGGACGGATAGAGCTTTTAATGGTTTCTTTGAAGGAATGTGTTCTCTCGTAGTCCTTCTGTATAGCTTATGGAAGATACCATCTAGAGCCAAACTTATTTTCATAACGCCCCTTTTTTTAGTATTTGTGGTTCTTTAATAGTTTAGATACTCTTATCTATGGTATAGCCATCTCTACTAGCTTGTTCCAAATGAGAATTAAATAATTGTCCGAAAGAAGAAGAAAACATGTCCACGTTTCTTTAGACCGAATCAAAGTAAAGGACACAAATCTGCAAAGAAAAAACGCATAATGTCGAATTTTGATGGAAACTATAACGACATCGATGTCAAAATAGAAATATCATGACCACTCTCGGAACCCCGGAACCCTTTGTAGCATCTATTACGTTATTCAAATCAAAATCCAAAACAAAGTGGTAAAGCCGGGACCATATATAAATATGAGCACGAGCTTAACCGGAGTACGGAAGGCAATAAGAATTTCAGCACCGATACACTCGAACTACTTGCAACAAACATGAACTCAATGCAATAGCTGTCAAAAAATTAAAAATTTTCCGCTTTTCATCTTTCAAACAAAAAAATTCAAAATCATTACACAAATTTTTCGGCTCAACAAACTAACCTAAATTTCTAATCTATAGTTTTTTTTCAAAAGCTTAAAAAGTAAGTACCGGTCTTTAATAAGCATCCATCTATCCCCACTAATTCTCTTAAACATTCCAGACCACACTCTAGGTAAAGGCATACAAAATGTGTTCTGGTTGTAGCCCTTGCTGTAGTCCTTGCTGCTGCTCGCCATGCGTCTGCCCCTGCAGGTACTTGAAGTGTACGGATTTCTGCTGCCGTTGGCCATGCCCATGCAAGGCTCATTGCTATAATACGCCACCAAAGTGTTGCTGCTAAGCAGTAATATTCGAAATGCTGCAATGGAGCTTGTCGTCAGAACTTTTGCTTTTGAATTAAGAACTTTTAAGTGAAAATAAAGTAAAATTTTAGAAAAAAAACATCGAAATCTCAGCACTTGCAATAAATCTGCTCAAAAACTCCGATTTGAAGTAGGAAATTTCTTTATCTTCGCAAGAATATTATAGCTCTAGGTATGGGGTGCATTGCTTTTGGGATCTTAGCGGGTTTAAGCGTCCCCAATGGTCCGGAGATCCGCTGGGCTGTAACACGTGGTTCAGAGCTTCGAAATTGCAGAACCTGAGCCAAAATCTTTTGAACAAGTAAAAGTTTTACCACAAAAGCATCACCAATTGTTTGAAGGTTACATAGACCCTATCCCTGTATCAAGTTCTTCTATAGACTAAAACTACAGATTTTGTCATCTTGCAATAATACCACCAATAATAATCTTCATAGAGGCCTTTGTATTTGCCTTTGTTTTAATGAGAAAGATTCCTCAATATGCTCATAGACTCCAAATTAAAGTGCAAAATTTGTTTGTCTTGTCAAGAATCAGGGATCTTAGCTCTGTTATTGCTGTAACAACTACCTAATCCCCGTTAGAAAGGTAAGGATTAGATAAGTTGTCACTGACGTCAACCAACGGTAGGCCCAGGAAACGTGCTCTTCGACGGGGTCGGACCAAAGGCAAAAGAGTGTCAGTAGAGGACGGTTAGCAGGGCATGCAAAGAGGCGGCTAGTGTCATGCGGTTACACATAACACTCTGGACATATGTTTGCTATATCAGGGTCTGCGAAAGGGTCACTCTCTTTTCTCGCAGCAACTCGAATCCTTCGTCTGCAATGGGTGGTGGTTTGGCTCCAAATATGCCATTCACTAAGAGGGAGTCGATGAAGATGTAGATGGCGGCCAATGCTTGCCGGAAGTTAGTTGCGTCCAATTTCTGGTCGATTTCATTATATTCCTTAATGTGAGCATACAGGCCTCACTATCCAGGTGTTCCATGGGAGACATCAAGAGGCATGCTGTCGTAGTCCGGAGTGTAGTTTACCCCATGTTAGTATGCATGATTGACGGCCACTCAGGTATTGTAGTTCCCCCTCTTTAGTCCTGGCGGAAACGTAGATTTTTCGATGCCCACAAGTAGCGTCAATCAATCACACATTGACTGGCTTTTGACAAGTCCAGCGCTAAGAGAATCGTTCTCTCGCTGAAAGTTTTTGGTTAGGGCTATGAGCTATCTGCACGCTTGTGGCTCTAAGTGTCGTGGTGGTACTGTGCACTTTTCGGGAGCCATGCTGGTGGTTTGCTAGGCTCAGGTGGATTGTGAAGGTCGGAAGTAGCAAGACCTCAAGTGTCTTCACTACTGGGGAGTGGAGAGTTATCGGACAATAGGACTCCACTAAGTTGGCGGGTTTTTCAGGTTGCAGTAGTGGGACCACGCTTCCGATATTCAAAACATCGGGTATTTGAAGAGTTCAGTGATAGGTTGAGGACCATTTACAGACCTTCGGTAACCTGAAATTACAGATTTTGTCATCTCTTTGTCATACTAAACCATTGAACGGCGTGACATAAACGGAGGCAGGACAAATATCCTATAGTCGCGAAAGCTTCCTCAATCGGTTGATGATATACTATACCCTAAAACCACTTTACATACAAGAAACAAAACATAAAAAAGCAGTGCAATATCTTAATTGCCAAATAAAAATGTGATAAAAGATTCATTACAAAACTTTTTGTTCTAACTAAAAATAAATCCAAAAAAATTTGTCCGCTACAATTCTTTTGAAAAAGGTAATTATGTTTAGCAAAGATTTAGTAAATATTTTCTTGACTTACCTATGTACTTTACTATTTATTATTTTCGCCAACAGCAGCCCCAAACCAATTGAAGATGTGCGAACCTTGCGGCTTTTCCGTTGCGCCGTGTGGTCCTTACGGACCCATAGGACCATATGGACCGATTACCGCTTGCGGAGCGCATGGTATTTATGGACCACCTTGCATACCGGATTCGTCACCGAACCCTCCCTGCTGTCCCTCACCTTGTCCAGTAGGCTGCTGTCCACCACCATGCGATCCCTGCTCCAACTGTTGTCCAAATCCATGTTGCCTCTGAAATTGGACTGAAAATTGGTGTCAGCTTAATTTCCACTCTAAAGGAGTTTTCATGCAATGTCTTGAGTTGAATTGGGGCGAAAAAAATTTGTTGATACATCCATAGACGGTTCGTGTTGAGCTAACGGTTGATTTAAAGTATCAGTTGTACATTCGGTCGTGAGGGATTAACTTTGTATATACTGAATACATAAGTAATCGACACCGCTTTTCGTGTTATATATAAAGCATGTAAATATGAACCGTGTATTATTAGAAATTGTAATCCAATGCTTCGTTTTTGGTAATAAAATTCTTGCAATAGTCGATTGTAAAGCCTAAAATTGATATTTTACTGGCAAAACTTATGGAGACCGCAGTTAGTTTTCAAACAACTTAAAATAAGATAACTAATTTATTCCATCCCAACTGCCCAATGTCTTTTAAGTTGGAACTTTGGGAGCTTAGAAGATATCTCGTCTCAATTTTGATCTCGGGGGTAGAAGCTTGGCGATGACCCCTACAAAGTTACTACTTTTGATTAGTTTAGGCAGAGTTGATTAAAAAAATCTATGAATAACACTTGGTCAGATAGTTGGCCTTTGCTTTACTTTACTTTCCACACAGATCCATAGATCGACGAGACGTTTTGAGTCACAAATCGGTTGAAGCGGTTGATATCAAATACCGACCACTTCGCTAGGTTCTCCAAAGATGTGTCAGGCTGGTAAAAGACGGGCATTAGAAGAAAAAGTGACAAAATGATTTGGCCTCACCTTTCTTCATATACTTTTAATTGTACCGTGTGTGTACCTATCGGACAGTGTCAGTCAATAGGGCTGAAATACCCACATAACTGCCATCTTGAATTTGGCAAGTGCAAATGGTTCGAAGAACCTCCTTCTGTTCACTTTGGGCTAGAAAGATCGCGCAATTACGCAAGTTCTGGTTGTTCACCAGCGCCCGCCAAGCTCACTGGAGATCCATGGGTGCCGCGTTAGAGCGCAAAAGGACATCGAACAACCGACACGGTTCCAACCGGATGAAATTAGGATAAATATGCCTTCCTTTGCAAGCTCACCGGCTTTGCAGTTTCCGGTGATTCTGCTCTGATCGGGTCCTCATACAAACCTAATAAGGAAAAAACTTGAAGTTGAACTAAAAAGATTATGCATTTTTTGACTACTTTTGAGAAAAAGTATAGTCGCTCGGCTATGAGAGTGAATGCACATCTTTCTGAACGAAGCTGCACTTCGGAACAGTATATCTACCGCTACCTTAATGGCTACCAACTCCGCTTGAAAGGTCTGGTAGCCTGAAAATTGAGTTTATGGGGAGTTTCCACAGAAAATTCTACCTCTTTCCAACTACCCGCTACGGCTACAAATTTCTCGCGGATGTGTGAGTAGAGAGGAAAAATTCCGCGCAGTAGCCTATATTACTAGATATGGAATCAAAGTAGTGAAAAGTTTGAGTGTATTCTTGTTCGGGGCGCATCATAAGCCTTGATTCCCTAAGTTTAATTAAAGTCTTCGCCGCATAGCACCTACCAGCTATGGCATTTCTACAAGTGCAATGTGTAGCATGTAGTCTTCAGTGAACCTCTATCTGCTTAGCTAATGCAGTTTTGCCGACAGCTTTCCACTGCAGATCAACCCCGTAAAACATTATTGGCCTAAAGGCCTAAGGTTTCATGTAGGAAAGACCACTACTTTTGGTGAGAGCCCCCCCTCTTTCCAATTGCTCCCCTACAACAATATACATACAAAGTTACTAAGTTGCCTGAGTGAGTTTTTCTTTACTTAAGTTTAAACATTAAGAACTGAGGTCTGAGATTTCCGAGAAAAATTACTTTATCTTCCAATAAGATGCTCTTACGTGTTCTCTTCTCGACAATCTTGTCAAAAATCGCACAAATATTGACTCACAACGCAAAACCTCAATAACAGCATCGCCATCAATCAAGCGAAATAGCGAAAAGGTCCTGTAGAAACACTGATGCTCCACCGCATTTTCGAAGTTTTCAGTATTTCACACCAGACATGCTTGCATTAGTTGTCAGAAATTTTTTTTCTGAATCATTCATTAATATTTCGGCTTAGCAAGAACATTTAAAAATTTAAAAGTTTATAATAAAAAAATCGTAGGTTACAAAAATAGTTTGTAAAATTTGTAATTAATTTAATTTCTGTTACTTAATCTCCCCCTGCGACTTCACAGCTCTTCCATTTGAAGAACGCCCAACCCAGGATGTGCGATCGCTGCTACAACAATAAAAATGGCTCGTCTACTTCCGCTTGCCAGAATGGCTATTGTAATACATGTTGTCCTAATGGTTATTGCAGCCGTACACGCACACCACAAGGTCCAAAACCAGATCCAACGGCCTGGACTGGGCCTAGCCAGTCGTTTAGCCGTGAATCGCAGTCAAATTGGGTACAACACCAACGTTGGGCGTGACTAACAKCCCGGCTGAGGCAATCGCAAAAATTACACGAGATGGAAAAGMAAAAACCCACGAAACTATTGGTCTTGCAATCGGGATGTAGTCTTCCGCAAATGTAGGTGACGCTCTAATTAAATACCGAGTTGGACGTGCTCTCACGCTCGTATTTCTCACTCTCCCTCTTCTATGTAGCTCAGCGAAGGTCATCATTGCGCCAGAGAGTGATCCACCACCGCGGGTGATGATTATGCCAAACGATTCGAAGGAGTCCCTAGTGTACGTAAGCTTCTGAAAAAACAAAACAAAAAAAATAAACACTAAATTATTGCTTTCCACACAGCTTTAGTCAGGACTCCAGCGAGGATTTGAAGAAACCCACAAAGCTTATGATCATACCATCTCGAGTTTTGGAGACGAGTAAAACCATTAAGTATGATGTAATTAAAATGACAGTCTTCTAATGCACCCAAACAACGGGGTCGCACTCGTAATTGTAGGCATCTGGATGATAGAACAAGACTGGCGCTGGACTTTACAAGATCCATTGCCTGCAGATTTCCAACGCTCATGGACAAGTGGAAAGTACATTTCTTATTATCTAGCGAGCTGGCCGATGCGGTGCGTATGGATCCTTTAAAATTTCGTCGGCCACATCACACTCCCGCTGTTAGTCATGACWGTCGGTACAACGTGAAAAAGAGGTCTCCATCACATCCGCAAAAAAAATTCAATGCTGATGCCGAGCAGTCTGCCCTGCAGCCAGCTTCGAAAGGGTCTACAAAAGATTGTTAATGATTTTAAGATAGTTTATAAGAATGCTTGAAAAAATTAAACTCATACCTCAGCCATACAGGAAGAAAATGTTGAGTTTTTATGGTGGGACTAAGTARATCGGAGTTCTAAGGGAGCAGGAATTTAGTTTATTACAGGTTATGTTCTCCTCTTTAGGGTTATTTGGATACATTTTAGAGTTTTTATGGTAGATCAGAGATCTAAATCAACAGGCATTTAGTTTATCACAGGTTATGTTCTTTTTTTAAGGTTTTTTGGATTATAGGATCATGACATGAGGCTTTTGACTGCAGAGTAAAATGTCCACTCTTTTAAGTAAGAGTTCTCTTTTTGCAGAAAATTTGAAAGATTTCTACTTGATCTTTGGGAATATTCCTTTTCGAAAAAAATGCTTATGGAGGAAACTCACAGAATAGTTCGGATTATCAAACTCAAGTCAATAGTTTCGCGTCCGATCTAACGCCTGCGCATAGTTTGGTTGACTCTTCGCATTCAGACCTAAAAATATTATATGATGATATCAGTGCAAAGCTTGAGGCTGCAAGGCGTGGAATACCAAGAACATTTGATGGAAAATCAATGGCGAGCTCGTAAAGACATCCGTTAATCCACATAGTAAACTCCTTTTACATCTAGAAAGGTTTCCCTTTTGGGAGGAGCTCGAACTCCAACTAACTCATTAACGCCACAGTCCAAAGTTTGCTTCCCCTACATCAATGCGGTATAACTTTACCTTTRAGCCACCAATTCACCGTTCCTCTAAAGTTCGGATTAGAGCTGACCACTTGTTCTAAATTTAATCCCAAGTGCTCAATGAGAAATATTTTACTATTTGTTTTTCAAGAAAAAATCACTCAGATCATTCAAAAACTTTTCGGCTTTTCATAAACARCAAAATTACACGATCTTTTCGATTATCATCTTCAAAGTAACAGGTATGAAGACAACTGTAAATATGCTTACAMCTAAATACCAATTAACACTTTAATCCTCCAATAGTCTACTTGGATAAAACAACTCAAAATGCCTTTTGCCTGTTGCGGTTGCTGCGGCTCTTATGGTTGCCCGACTGGCCCTTGTGGCCCCTGCGGTCCGTGTGGACCATGCCGACCAGGCGGACCGTGCCAACCTTGCGGACCATGTGGCCCATGTAGCCCCTGCGGACCGTGTGGCCCATGCAGCCCCTGCGGCCCATGTGGTTCTTGTGGACCYTGCTGCGGACCGTCGTCATGTAGTCCGTGCTCACCTTGCGGTCCGTGYGGACCTTSTGGTCCCTGCTGTAGCCCSTGCGGTCCTTGTATAACGCGCGGTCCATGCGGCCCTTGTGGWACGTGCGGACCCTGCTGCAATCCATACCCGGGCTGCTGTGCGTTCGGTTGTCCGTGCTCCAAATGCCCGAACCCATGCCGCTATCTGAAACCAAAATACTAAGTACTAAGGTAATGTACTTACTGGCCGACTGTGGAGTACAAAACTTGGACCTGTGTGTACAGAGTGGGTTTGTTGCAGAACGAGTTACTAATAATATGGAGACACTTGGGTTGGAAATTGAATTTCAAATGCAACAAGCGCTGACAAATAGTGGCGATCGTTGGACAACGAGTCGAACATGCGGTTAGATAATAGATTTCAAAGAATGCGTCTGCAATTGCCATGTGTCATTTTGTTCATTTGATATTTTGTATGAAGATATAAAAGAATAAAAAGAGTACACCTTGCAAAGGTTGATTAAAAATTTAAAAATCACCGAGTCAGTGCATTAATTGTCAAAGATGATCGTTTTTAATTCATAAAATTTCGAAAAATTCCGAAAGTAAGCGACACCTCATTGGCACGGAGAATTTTTTTGTTAGAAATTTCTGCGCTAACTAAAAACGTGAGTAATTCGTGACATACGGCAAATCGTTTTTAATTATTCCAAATTGTTTTTTTTTTTTTCGTAGACTTCAGCCATCACCTAATGCAGTGCCCTTGCTGGTGCTATCGACCGGCTCCTTGTGGTCCTTATGGCCCCTTCGGTCCATGGGGTTGTATAGGACCATGCGGTGCCATAGGTCCATGCACGCCTTGTGGTGCGCCGTGGGGTTCGTGTCAGCCGTGTGGCAGTTCRTGTTACGGCTCTTCGTGTTATGGGCGTAGATGTTGTTAAAGCAAGTTACCGATACAAACGAGCGTACGCAGCAAAGCAAGCAGGTGAAGATTAWTAAATAAACGCAGCGTCGATTTGGGCAATGAATTGGGTGAACTGCAATGGCAAGTGTATTTCGTTATAAACATTGAACTGCATGGTGAAAGGCAYAAAAATCATATAAAAATATTTAAATACAAAAATCTTTTTTTAATTTTTGAGATTTTGTAAATAAAAAAGTGCAAGATACTCAAAAACATAAACATACTGATTTTTGTTTAAGGACAATCTTTGCTGGAGACTTGCAGAGTTGCGTTTTGCGTAGCCTGTTATTGACAAGACAACAATGTTAGACATCTTTGGCTTTCTTGGGTTTAAGATTTTTTCGAAAATGGTTTATATTATATATTCCGGACTCCTCCTTCAACATTTTAAGTCAGATAGATTCGAGTTTCGAATACCATACATTTTCGAATCGAGATACAGAATAATAGCAGAGCCAGTGAAAAACGCTACTGCCTTCCTTCTTTTTCCTTCCTCATCTGCAAAATGTGCGCCCAGTGAAAAAACGTGGCAGAAAAGTAGAATTCAGCCATTTTTGCTTGTTTTCATTTGCACAATGTTGCCATTGCTCAATACGCATATATGGTTTTGTACACATCYATGTTTTCAATTAAAATTTTTTATAATATAAAATATCAAAACTGAAAACAAATAGTTTTTATATTTATAAATAATAGCATTCGACTCTGATTTTTAGTTATTTTAAGAAAATTTCAAACATATTGAACAGATTCAATTATAAAAGTTGATAATTGGTTGTGAGAGAGCAATCAGCTGACACGTTTCCACGGCAAAACCCAAAATGCTGTAGATTCCCACGTCATCCTACGTCAAAGAGAGAAGGGAGTAGCGTTTTTCACTGTGCACTTACATTGCGCGCCCATAAGATAGGTCGTATCAGCTGACACAACCCACCATTCTACGTTTTTCACTGTTCCTGCTATAGGGCCTATAATATTACAAGATGCGTTCCAAAATAAACAGGAACAAAACTTCTTGAATCTAGCGACCCTTATGGCGCCATCTTTATGTCGAGTGGTGCGTTAGAATCTGCTATCCTTATCAATTGTCCAGTGAGAATTTCATGACATTTCATTAAGTGTCAGTATGTGTGTTATGAGCTTCGAACAAAGAGCCAACATTAATTATACCCTATTAAGTTTGTCACGAAGTTTGTAACATCCTGAAGAAAGCGTCGGAAACGCTATAAAGTATATACATATATAAATGTTCAGTATGTTGAGCTGAGTCGATTTATCCATATCCGTCTGTCCGTCCGTCCATCTGTCTGTATATAAACGAACTAGTCCCTCAGTTTTTAAGATATCGTTTTGAAAATTTGCAAATTTCAATTTCTCTTCAAGAAGTTGCTCATTTGTCGGAACTGGCGATATCGATTACTATAGCATATAGCTGCCATACAAACTGGACACATAGTTACGAAAAGAAATGCAACTGTGAAGGGTATATTCGGTGCAGCCGCAGTTAACGTTTTTTCTTGTTTTGTTTTAAAATTGGTAAAATTTTTACCGAAACGTTTCAATTGATGAAACAAGTTTATGGCGACGATGATCTATCCCATAGCTGAGTGCACGAGTGGTTTCAACGTTTTYAAAGTGGTCGTGAGGACATAAATGACGATCAATATGTGGACCAAACAAAAATCAGYCGAAATCATCATTRATATTTTTACAAATGGAATTCGATCGACGCTTGTGACCGATTATTTGACCAAAAATYACATTTTAACCATTAACCACTCCCCGTATTCAACTGATAGGGCACCGTGCGACTTYTTAGTTTTTGGAAAAATGCATTTGCTTATGAAAAGAAAGCGTTTTGCAGACGTAGAGGCCATTCAAAAGGCTTGCACCGGCGTCCTGGCGGCCATACCGGCAAACGAGCTAAAACACTTTTTCGATATGCTTTTGGGCCATGCAAAAAGCAGTATTGAAGCAGAAGGAGACTCTTTTGAATAAAATAAATTGATTTTGCCGAAAAACCCATTTGTTTTGCTATTTTTTTAAGTCCTGTTTACTAAGGAGCGGACCTTGTAAATATCATTTGTCTAGTTGTAGATTTTGCCGTTCATTTTATAAGCGAATSGTCTGTTTCACATTAATGTTGGGTTGAAAAGTCGCTCCTAGCAGAAATTTCACTTAAACAACTTAGTACGCTGATCCGTTGTAATACCAAAAAAACAAAAAAAACTCCTACAGAAGGGATAATGAGATTCTCTCAAATCGGCAAAGCRCTTTGAGCCGATCACAAAGTTGTTGAGACGGCTAATGTCAGTTTCGGCGTTGTCTTCAGCCTCAGTCTTGTATAGGCTGGACTATGGGGAGAAAGTGACTGGATATACCCACTTAACTCTCCTCTATACAAAGCGACCTGATTTTTAGCGTTATCACATGAATTCTTATTGACCAGTATTCGGTATGAACTCTACGATTGCGGCAAGAAGATAAGTTTGTATTGCCTATCGAATTATTTAATTTTGTATGATTTCATCAGATTCATAAATTCCTGTTTTGCATTGATCTAACCTGTCCGATGACTAGTCATCTCATTTGATGTGTTCTATTATCTTCCCATTTCATCTCTAACCTATGTGAATAATGCGAAAAAAAATCCAACTCAACCATCGTCACGTCTCTAGTTAGTCAATTAATTTTATACAATCTCATCTCATATCAGTTTATCTCACGCAAACTGTTTGGCTTCTGTTATCTTATATCATTTTGCCTCAATTTGAGCCCATCCTGTTTCCCATCCTGATATCATCTATCATGCGATCATACATCTTCTTTTATCTCGTTTCATACACATCTTCTAGTAACATATAGCATATATCAGTACTAACCGTCCTTTTCTCATATCATTTCGGTTCATTACTTAAAATCTATTCATCTCATTTTTATATATTTTGCACTCATCATAAACTTATCTCACGCCAACTCTAKTCACCTTTTCTTGTAGTGCTATTTGCGTGTATTACGTTGCCTCAACTTTTTCAGTTTAATCTCATATCGTTTCTTTTCATTATCTAAATCAACAACGAGTGTCGAGGGAGATGAAATCTTGAATATTTTGACTTTTCGACTCTATTGATTCCTAAAGACCATCAAGCAAATCGACGGTACCGAAAAAGTGGCAATTCCAGCCACATTTATTTATAAATTCTCTTCAACCAAACCTGAACCTATGTTTGAAAATTTTCACGGAAATCTCAAGATTTATACGCTATGTATTTCATGAAGGAAATTCGAAAGCTAACATAGAAAACAATCGCTGCTCTCTTGGGACTTGTGAATTAATCAAATTATCTCACATTGCCACTAAAGAAAAACGAAAGCCATCTCATTTTATTGATGTCAAAACGTGTGTATGTTTATTGGCCAATTTTCGTGTTTACAACACATCAACTTCACTCAGCACAATGTGTGCTTGTCCTGTTATTCGTTTTTTCTGTAACATTTATTCTAGCGAAATTCCAAAACGTTCGGTGTTTGCAGCACAACGCCAGCACCAACAATGGACGCACTAGACGCAGATGGCTCGCAAACACACTTCCTATGACTCGTGTTCGCGACGATGGTATCTCAGCCGAAATAGAAACAGCCTGTGGGTCGACAAATATTYGACTCACCACAGGGTTTACGACAATCAAGACATGAGCCATATGATCCGCTCGGTCCACACGGTGCACAGCATGGYCGGCAAGGTCCGCAGGGWCCACATGGTCCRCAAGRGCCACATGGCCCGCATGGTCTGCATGGCCCACAGCGGGGCGAGCAGCAGGAATATGAGCTACAGCAGGAATAACACATTGTCGCACGATTTCTTGAAGCTGTAGAAAATTATTTAAAAAAAAAGTGTACAACATTTTAGGTGGTGGCTTTACTTACAACTTAGTTTAGAAATTCCTGCGAAACAAAAAAGTTACAAACGAAAACTTTTTTGTGGCCTTTCTKCCTGACGATAAAATTTTGATATGGCTGAAAACTGAAAATTTCAARTGAAATTTATTTCAATGTACATATTTTATTTATTATTGTTATAGTGATATACAAAAACAAGTTKTAGTCTTTACTCAAAGGATCTTTGTTAATAAGATCCTTAGTAAAATTAAAATCAGTAGTTAGACCTCTTTACTTTTTCGTACCCAGAAGAAATGATTTTAGGAACAAAATACTGTTATGGACTATTAGGTCACAACTTAGACCTATCATGCTACTTACTATCACCATCACTTCCTGTATATTCCGCAGTAGCATTGTGTTCAATAAAGAATTTCCATCTGCTCCTGAGTTCGGCAGGCATATTTAATTCGTTTACGTTTTTCCGCATTAACCGATTTCTTTTTCCTAGGATTTCCTTCACGTGGAGTTAGGGATATCTCTGAAAGCTTTTCGAAAAACTTATGTATTATCTTTTCGCAGCATGTAATCTATCCATCTCCATTTTTGGGAAACTTCTTAAGCATCTTTTCGTGGTATGTGACCTATCTATCTCCATTTTCGCWATTTAATATAGTTGGCCATGGGACCCGAACTGCATTTTTTATATACTTTATGTAGGTCGTCATTGCTGATGACATTAGGTTATCCCATCTTGAGGATACTGCGTAGGCATCTGTTAAGACAGTGCTGGACATGTACCTTTAACGCTTTTTCGAACAGACTGTTACTCAGAAGCAAAATATTATATTAATAATAACTAATATTAGTCTCTACTAGAAAGATTAAACATAGAACATAAAGCATAGGGAAGGCCTGCGCCTTCGATATCGCACATTTGTTAGATTTATAGTAAGGAATTCACCTCACAGCCACAGAAGTCAYGCTGTATAAAGTTAACATTGTTTACATTTCTCTCACATAATAAAACAGAGAATATGAAGAGMAATATATGTATGTATGCTTGCCCATGAGTACGCTCCCAACAAATAATTTTGTTTTCTTTTGCTTTTCGTTTATATTTTATTCCATTTTGAACAGCGAAAAATGTGTATAAAACACACCTCTCACACAGAGAACATAAAGACATTTTTTTATGYTCTGTGTCTCACATACCCATTCGTTTTGCTTGTTTAAATTTTTGCCAGAGAACGTGCATTTATAATATAATATAATTTATAATATAATGCACGTGCTCTGTTCTCAGCTCTGTTCACTCATTTCTGTTAAAGTTGCTCCTGCCGAGCCAAAAGTGGTGAAATCCACTAACAGAAAATTCATGGTTCTTGACAGTTYACACGCTTGTCCGTGTTGAACTTTCTCTATAAATGCATGTTCTCTGCCGATARTCTCAAACGGCAAACCACTTAGTGTAGTTTACAAACGCAAACCTTCAGGTGAAAAATCAAAATATATCAAAAATATATATTTTGCGGAACCAGCAGAGAAGCAGTTATGYTCAACATATTTCTAGCGCTAAGCCTCAGCCTCTTAGCGGCCGCTTACTGCTGGTTGCGCCAGCRTTTTCGCTATTGGGAAAGGCGTCGTGTACCACACATACCATCCTTACTGATTGTGGGCAACATTTTCGATCTRCTCCGTTATCGTTGCTGTTTCGGCGAACAATTTGAACGGCTCTACAATCATGAAGCCGCCAGCGGTCAAGACTTTGTGGGCATACATGTGCTACATAATCACGCTCTGCTGCTGCGTGACCCTGCGCTTATMAAGCGYGTACTGGTAAGCGACTTCAGCGCGTTCGCGAGCCGYTTCGAACGCAGTGACTCGGTGGGCGATGCCATGGGCTCGTTGAACTTATTCTTTGCGGAATACGATGTATGGAAGGAGATACACAATATCTTCTCGCCGCTGTTTGCGMMTGGCAAGGTGAAGCAAATGTATCCGCTGCTGCAAGAGGTTTGTCTTAGCATCTGCAAAGGTTCTCCAAAATTAACTATAAACCTTTWAAAATCCATTAAAGATTGGYGGTAAGCTGGAGACGCATATGAACGCTTGGAACTTTACAGCTGACGATGCGTGCCCGTACCCGTCGGCGGTCGTTGAGGTAAAGGAGTTGTGTGCGCTCTTCACCACCGACATCATATCCTCACTCGAGTTCGGCATCGCAGCTAATAGTTTGGTGAGTCCACACGCTGAATTCCGACGCATGTGCATTGAGGTGAATGAGCCGCGTCTCTGGCGTCTACTACATCTCTTTACCATATTCTTCGTGCCGGAGCGGGTYAGRCTCGTACGCGCMCATCTCTACTCAGCAGAGTATGAGAAGTTCATGCGTAGCTCCATCGAGTATGCGATTGCGGAGCGCATGCGCAGTGGCAACCAACGTAACGATCTCATCGATATATTTATYGCGTTGAAGCGTCAAGYGGCCAATGGCSCAAAGGACAGCGTACTGAACCAACCTGATTTCTTTGTAGCTCAGGCCGCATTCTTGTTACTCGCTGGCTTCGACACATCCTCCTCGACCATCACATTCACGCTTTATGAACTCGCCAAGCATCCCGAGTTGCAGCAGCGTTTGCG